GGGGAAAGAAGATAAGAAGGAGAGAATTAAGCATTATATAGATGATCAAATGAACTGACATGTAAAACTGTGCAATAATAACCAAGATGTTGAGCATCTACATGGGCTTTTCTGCCTGTCTAGGATGTGGTAGTTTTTACAGCATCAGCTGTCACACGTGTCAGTCTGGCATCAGTTTTGATGTCATGGGGGTGTTATTTTGGGTACCAGTGGCACAAGGCTATTTGCTGCTGCAGAGGAGAAATTCGGAGAGCTCTTGTGCTGATATATTCATATTGAGCAGTGAAGTGTGTTTAAATGGGCCGTTTCTTTATCATATTTTTTTAAGTTTATCTATTTCAGGAATTTCTGCCCCACATGGTATGTGTTTTGACATACCAGTGGATGGTTAAATCCAGACTGTCTTGAGCAACTGAGCCTGTTATGATTGCCTGAGGATTAGGAACGGGAAGAAGGCTTCACTATTTTCATAGTCCCTTGTCTGGGTTATGGGATGTTATAATAAAACCAAGTGAACTTTGCTTCCAGAATTGCCCCTTTAGCAGCCTCACTGCTGACACTAATCTCTATTTTTTCCAAATCATCCATTATTTGGCAAACTCTGTCCATGATTTCAGGCTTTAGCTGTCACAGATTATTTATGACGGGTACTGATGCTTCCAGTGGATGGTTTATTTTGGATTTTTGCCACATGTTGCTTACGCTGTCCCTGAAAATGAAAATACTGAGATTGGTCTTTCTGAATGGAAAAAAAAGAAATGGCATGACTGAAAGCCTCCATTTCAGATACCTTTCTGAAGGTAATTGGAGCATCCTCATTTGTTTGATATCGCTTACAGAATATCACTTGCTAAAAAATGCAGCCCCAATGCAAGGGCGGTCACTATATGCAGTCATATATATGTTTAATTTGAGAAAGCGCATTTGCTACCAATGTTTACGTATATTGAACTGTGGTCAACTAGTAAAAGATTGCAAAGTAAACCACTATGTACAAGTTTAGTGTATGCACAAAGCCTAGTTGACAGCCATAATCTTAGTACGCTTTTTCTGTCAACCTGCTGGTAATCAGATTATTATTGCGATTTTTATAAAGGCCTAACCTCATGTTTGTTTGGAGATCATGCTTTTTACATTGCAAATAGAATTATGTTATGATCGTAAAGTTGAGCAAAATCAGCGTGCAGGGGTCAATTTGAGTAAGAATCTTCATTCAGATGTAGAAAATGGAAAAGGATACAGCAAATATTAGGCTGAAAGTATATTGGCTTAAAACATCATAAATTCTTCCTTTTACAGGCATGCATAGTCCATAAATTTTGGCCAGAGCATTCACAGGAGTTTGCAATTATTTCTGACCTCTGAGGTCTGATGTATCCTCTGGGTTTCCCTCTCCTGTGGGATCAGCATCCCATTACTGCTGCCTTCATCCTTGCCAAAGCCAGTACATGAGTGAAGCAGCTGAACGATAGCTTGGTGGTAAAGTCAGGTCATCTTATAATCTGCCACTTGGGTACAGAGACAAGCATCCCCTTTCATTACGACACTAACTTTTCTTTTCCATAAGCCTATATAAATGACTTGGATGTAGCATCATATTCTCATTTAAATGTAAGCACGTAGCAATGCAAAATGCCTTTAATTAAAATAGTGCATAGAGCAAGTATTAGTGGGTTGCAAAATACTTACTCTGTTTTGCTCTTTTCGTGTTCCTATTTAATTTTTTCTATCCAAATGCAAAAATATTGTTAGTTTTAAAAGTCATGTAAAAGCTAATTCAACAGCCTGCTTGAACAGTTGTCATTAGAAGAGCCTTTCTCCCTGACATATGCTAATTACCTAATTACACATATTTCATTGCAATATTTTCTCCAAAATACTTTGGAAACTGACTGTCTGCAAGAGGCGTGTTTGATGTTGAGCAGAGCCAGGCTCATGTGCATCAGTGGTTGGGAGACCACAAGCAATTATCTTCATTAACGTTTCTTTGACCCAACGTAATACTCCAAGACATGTTTAGCGTTAATAAAAGCAAATCCTGTGGCACGCCTCCTGTGATTTATAAGGCTCAAATTAACACTTTTTTGCTTTCTGACCTTGCTAAATTTCTTAGTCATTAGTGGAAGCTTCTGGTGTTTGAGTGGTTTTGGGGGGGACTTGGCTCTTCTGCGTTCTTAGAGTTACTGGGGCTTTTAACATCTCCATGGGGTTCATGCTTGGCTTGCAATTCTGCTGGATTCAAGTTGTTTGGATGAAGAAGACACAGATCTTTGTTATTCTACCGAGTCTGTGCAGAATAAGCATCTATAGAGAAGTGAGGAAAGCTTTTGGGTAGGTTGGGTAGAGTGGCCTGATGCTTTACAGAGGATTTATTGAACTTGCACGTATTTGACAGGAGGGAGGAGGTAGAAGGGAAGGTTGGTTTGCTCAAGGTAACCAACTTAAAGCCCTGTTTGCAGTTCTCATGTGAGTCAGCAGTCTTTGATACACTCTGATAACTTGAATAAAAATAGCCAGCGCTCTTGTCATAAGCTTTGAAGTAAAATCTCGATGAGGAATTATCTAGTTTAAGTGTGGTAGTTTTTTTTTCCCTTCTTGAAGAAAAGCTGATGCTGGAGTCATAGAGCTAGACAAAGAAAGCCTAACCCAGCACTTAACTGACATCATCCCTGTTGCATCTGTGCCTATACTAAAGCTATAGGAAAGCAGCTGGAGCGCTTCCCAGTATATAATATATGTCCTGCTACCAAGCAATGAATCCCTGCCAGATGTATTTCACTGTGACATAATAATTTATTTGCTTTGAATAGCGTGTGGCTGGGGATAATATATTTAATGAAATATTGGAGCGAGAAACAATACAACATAAAATAATGCTTTTCATTTGAGGACCTCTGAAATTTTGTAGTAAATGAAACAAATCTCCAAGTCCCATACTTGCCTGGATGTAGATGATGAGGGTGGCTGTGCTTGGACTGAAGGTCTTGGATCTGGGTACTTGGGGAGGAGTGCAAGGACAGGACAACCACGTGAAATGCTTATTCTGACTACTCTTCCTGACATTGAATATCTGAAGCTTAGGAGCTCCCTAAACCTGACGTGGGTTTTGACCTCATGTTTTTGACCATTCTTGAGCATTTTGTTGATGCTGTCAGGGAACCGTCATAGTCATGAGGTCTTGCTCCTGTGGGGCAGTGCTCAAGGAAAAGCTCAACATTATATGTAACGTTAGGACGAGCATCATGTAAACTTTTATATGTATTGTGTCACCTGCCACTTCATTGCCCAGATGCTGGCTCTGAGGGTCCTCTGCATTTCTTTGTAGTTAACTTTGTCTTTATATTAGAATAACTCTTAACATCTTCGGGGGGAGTTTTGAGTTTGTTAGGACTAATTGGAGAACTGAGGACCACTAACTCTGGAACTGCTTTCATTTGGGGCTGGTGGTAGGGTGTTGTCATCTTGTAGTGATTAAGTTTGAGAAATTACCTGTGCATTTGATGTTTCAGTGCCAGAGATTTGTGTTCTGTGTTTTTTAAGCAGTACGAGAGAAATAAAAAGTGAGTTTGTATGAGTGAGTTGGCTGTAACACTTCATATCTGATGATATGTCCAATATGGACATCTCTGAAAAAGATTGACTTTGTGGGTGGAAGAGTGTTACTGTTTGAATCCCAATGGGTTGAAAATCTCCTGGGCAGGAAGACAAAGGAGTTTATCTACTGTTCACCAGCACAGGACTGTGGGATAATGTCAATACAAGGGATAATAATGTCAATACAAGCTCCTCATCCCAGGAGTGTCGGAGCAAAGCATTGGGTGTATTAGCAGTATGCGCTCTTGGATGGGCGCTGCTGCAGGAGTCATGTGTCCCTTTACAATATGAGGGAACTTGGAGCTTGTGACCACTGATTTAAACTTGTGACTAGGCAAATTATTGTGTTTCAGGATTCATTTTGAACATTGCTCAGAAAGGCCTTTGAATTGACAAGAGGAAACGGCCTCCAGTTGCTCCAGGGGAGGTTTAGGTGGGATATTAGGAACAATTTCTTCACTGAGAGGGTTGTCAAGCATTGGAACAGGCTGCCCAGGGAAGTGGTGGAGTCACCATCCCTGGAGGTATTTAAAAGACATGTAGATGTGGCGCTTAGGGACATGGTTTAGTGGTGGACTTGGCAGTGTTAGGTTAATGATTGGACTCGATGATCTTAAAGGTCTTTTCCAACCTAAATGATTCGACGATTCTATCACAAAGGCAGCATTTTCCTTTTGGTTGGAGTATGCCTTTAAGGTGATATTTTAAGGTTTTGTTTTTTTTTTAAGTTAGCATTTTATGCAACTGTTCAGAATCTCAAAAGGTTTAGTTCTCCTAACAACATCTAGAAAATATGTAATTTAGATGTATGGGTAAGTTAGTGTCAGGAAGGTCAAGGGGTGTTTTCCAGAGTTATAGTTAGCTGAATGATGCTTTCCCTACGTTGGCATGAAGTATCCAAACATAGAAATAGAGGCACTAACTCTTAAATAAGTTATTTGGTAATATTAAGCAATAAAGCTGTAGCAACTTTTGACATGAGGAGAATGCCACTATTGATTCAGCAGGCTGTCTGGTATGTTGCTCACAAAATACTGATTTTATTCTCTGTAAAACACACTGAAAATCAGAGGGTCTTTTTGAATCTTTGCTGCTTCAGAGTCAGGGAAAAATTAGTAAAAGCTTGAGGTGCTGTGGGTAGTTATGTCTGAGTAGAGAGGAGCCTGAGGTCTGGGTAGTGTTTGTGTGTTAAATACCTTTATTTATTACAGCTTTGGTGTATGAAAACACTGCTGTCTTTTCAGATGTCGGTTGGGAATCATAATTTGCTTTCTTTAAGGCAATTGGTATCATCACTTGAGTTGCTTCATTGCATCTCATGGTGCACATCAATGTTTTTCAAGGACCCCTGCCAAGATAAAACACCTAACCTATTTTGTTTTGCCTTTTTTTTTTAGCATTGCTAACATGATGACCTGACAAGATATAGGACGGTCCTGACTATGCAGCGCAGGTACTGATGGGAAAGGATCCAATATGAGTGTAAATGATGTTGGAGGAAGACGACGCTTTGAGGATAGCGAGTACACGCTGCACATATACCCTGGGAGCATCGCAGAAGGGACTATCTACTGCCCCATCACCGCCAGGAAAACTTCCACGGCTGCCGAGGTGATTGATTCACTCATTAATAAACTTCAGCTCGAGAAAACAAAATGTTACGTCCTTGCCGAAGTGAAGGAGTTTGGTGGGGAGGAATGGATCCTCAACCCTACGGACTGCCCAGTCCAGCGCATGATGCTGTGGCCTCGCATGGCCCTGGAGAACCGCATCAGTGGCGAGGATTATCGCTTCCTCCTGCGAGAGAAGAACCTGGACGGCTCCATTCACTATGGGAGCCTCCAGTCCTGGCTGCGGGTGACAGAGGAGCGTCGCAGAATGGTGGAGCGTGGCTTCCTTCCCCAGCCGCAGCAGAAGGACTACGATGACTTGTGCAGCCTGCCAGACTTGAATGAGAAAACGCTCCTGGAAAATCTCAGAAACCGCTTCAAGCAAGAAAAAATCTACACCTATGTAGGCAGCATCCTCATTGTTATTAATCCATTCAAGTTTCTACCTATTTATAACCCCAAGTATGTCAAGATGTATGATAACCATCAGCTGGGAAAGCTGGAGCCCCATATTTATGCTGTGGCAGACGTGGCTTACCACGCCATGCTTCAGCGGAGGAAGAACCAGTGCATCGTGATTTCGGGAGAGAGCGGGTCGGGAAAGACACAGAGCACCAACTTTCTGATTCATCACCTCACTGCCCTCAGCCAGAAGGGATTTGCCAGTGGAGTAGAACAGATTATTCTTGGAGCTGGACCAGTGCTTGAGGTAAGATGAAAACTATAGTAGCGTGGAAACTTTTTAACGGTGGAAAAAAACCCCCTGCAAGTAGTTGGGGTTTTATTATGACACTAGTCTGGGGTTATCTGCTAAATGCTGATAATAAAGTTACAACAGTGTTAGCAATAACAGAAGGCTGTGTTTCTGCCTATGGAATACTACCTGCTTCAAAAAAAAGGAAGAATATGAGTACAGCAAATGGCTTTCTGACAAATTTATTAATGTTTTGTTTTCACTCAAGTGTTTCTTAATACTGGTATATCTCAGTGATTTTTCAGTTTGCAAATGGGAATGTAAAAGCCTTTCTTGAATTATCGGTAGCCTTTCTTTATAGTACATTGAAAAGAGAATTCATTGTACATAGTATATTGATAGTGTTGTATTTATGGAGTTTCTGTGCCCTCAACTTCATTGAGCTGGGGAAGAGATCAAAGGGAATGTTCATGGTCAAAATTTTATTTTTTAATCATAAGTATTTGATTTGGATGGTGCGATTAGTTACTTTATGAGGACTTTTCCTGTGTATGAAAGGAGATAAGATGAATTGCACCATTAACTTTGCGGATATGAAACTCTAAAGAGGGATACAAGCATTCATTAATCAATTTGCCTTTAGATTGCCGAAACTCTTTGAAATGGTTTTCCTTAGAATTGCCAATTTTGCTTGTTAAATAGTTTTGTTTGTTAAAGCCTGTCTGCACGTGGGTGATGTGAGCGTCAGCTTCAGCTGTGCTGTTGTTTTTCTTCGAAGCCACAGTACAGAGAGGTGGTTGATGGCTGCGTTTTCTTCTCTTAAAATAAAAAGTGGCTTCAAATAAAGGATAGTAAAACTCGTGGATTTGGGGGGATTTGCTTTCTATTTTGAAAGGGGTTTCTGGCAGTTGCAGACAAAGATATCTATTCTCTGTGTCTATGTTTGATTAATGAGTCTGAGGACTTGGGTCAGCTTCAGCTACCAGCAGAAGACTGGGATGTGCTCATGGATGTCTCAGCTAAGGATAAGTGAACAGCTTCATTTTGCAAAGCTAACAAGTTTTTTCATGTTTTCCTGTCAGGTAGAATGGGCTGAGCTAATTTAATCTGGGGTTAGAAAATGATAAAGTCATTTAGGATGGGCTTTGCCCTGAAAAGCAGCAAAGCTGTGTAACAAACTGAAGGTAAAGAAATGAAAAAGGCTTTTTTTTTTTTTTTTTTTTGACAATCTGCATGAAACCGTGTGTTAATTCTTTTAAAGCACACAGGCAAGTGGACTCCCCGTTCTTGCACTTGCCAGTTTTTCTCCTGTTGTGCAAGAGATTACAGAGCTGTTTCTTGCTGGAGCTGATCAGAAAATACCAGACCAGGCTCCGATAGTCTGTAGTTAATGGTTGTTACTGTGGTGACCCAATTAGGCGACCACATTAATTTTAAGAAAACAGGTATGAAAACAATTGTATTCCACGTCCAATCCTGTTACTTATTTGAAACATTTGCATGCCTGTTTGGTTTTTGGTATGCTTTTTAACATATCTTGTTGAACCAAGGTCCACTTTGTAGTTCTGTTAAGTAGTGTCAGAGAGAGCATCTCTGTCTAGCTTAGATTTCCATGGGTGGAGAAGAGAGATCTCTGTGAAAGAGAAGTTAAAAGGAAGCTTTGGGAATTGTTTTTTTCTTAAATTCTACTTTTTTCAGGAATAGATAAAATAGTCCAGTTGCAAAACTGCCCGAGCATCATTCAATCCACTGACGCAGTCTCTTAAATAAATGAACTGTTCCACCTACTTGAAAGATTAAATCTTCTCCCCCCCCCCAAACACAGACTTACAGTCATTGCTTATAGTCAAACAAGCTTGTGTCCAGAGGCAAAAAATAGAGGATGCCCATGAACTGCACGTTTCTTTGCTTTTCTTTCTCTGCTTCCTGTTATTTTATGCTATCGAACACAGAGAGAGGGTGCAAGCAATTTCAGGATGGTGCAATTTGAAGATCTCTGGTTATCAGGATCCCTGTTGTTACCCCCGTGTTTCAGGACCTGAAGTTTAAATCTACTTGCTTGGTTCTTGGATGGAGGGCAGCAGTGCAAACAGTTTACTGGTAATGCTGCTTTGGTGATGGCCACTTACTTCTTCCCAGGGATTGTTGCGTATGTTGGGATTAGGTACAGGGGAGGGATGCACTAAGCCTCTTTGCTTTCCTTTCGCAAGATCTGCAGCTGTTTTTAAGGGGAAAAAAAAAATCTGAATCATATCTGTTATTTCTTTTGATTTTGGAACAGAAGTTTGCATTCCTTCACTCTGGCAGCTGGACGGCTGCTGTTGTGCTTCCCTAGCTGCCTCCAGGTCTCTTGGAGAAAGTGAGGGTAATCCAGAATTTCTTCTGCTCTGCCAGCGCCAGTCCCAAATAGCCACAAATCATGCAGGCTTAAAGATAAAATGTGCATACTTCTGCTTTTCCTTCCCTTCCTAAAATTTCCTAAAAAAGGGATCTTCAGAGAAGATCTGTTTTAAAGGGTTGTGTTACCCTGCCACCCATTTGCAGATTTGACCTTTTGATTCCTTGCATTTGTGGTTGAAATACACTTTTCACTTCTCTGTAAGTTTAGATGCCAAACTTGTGTATTTTTTTTCCTCTTTTTCTTCATTCTTCTTCCCTCCTCCAGACACCTTCTTCGATCCCCTTATTTTCCCTCTGCATATTTAAAGTTAAATTACATTCAGCTTAGGCTTGTCTTGTGGGAGGCAGCGACATAACTTTTCATGCTGCGACTTCTGATTTGGGGAATGGAGCACAGCAAATAAGAGTTTACTTGGAACCATTAATCTCTTTTTCTTTCCCTGCTTGCAAAGCATTGCTGGTAGCATGAGTGTTTGCATCAAACCACCCGTTCCTGAGAATGCCTTTGCAGTCGCGTTCACACGGCAGGAGCGGAAGTGGAGCAAAATTAAGATTTTTTTTATTTTTTTTTCAGTGTCAGTGTTTTCTTAATTTACCTTTTTTTGAATAGCCTCAGGGCATTGTTTGTGAATTTTTTTTGTTGCACGAGATTCCTGTGAGCCTTGTCCAAATTGCATTTTTGGGGACAGCTGTCAAGGCAACCTGTTACTGCCATCCAAACACAGTAATATCATCCAGTAGTTGTATGTAGCAGTGACTGTAGTTAGAGGTGTGTACTGAAACCAAGCGTGTCTGTTAAAAGGTGTCTTTGACATAGGTCGTATGGATTTTCTTTTTCCTGCAATGGGATTTAATAGGCAAGCTTTTTTGTAGTGGTGCTCCTTGGAGTGGTTGCAATATGCCTTTTTTGTTTTGTAATAAATGATATTATAAAATATTTACATATTTATATATTACTTATTTGTGATAAATGATATTACTTAAAGACTGTACTTATTTTTCTCATAACAAGGTCCCAATTGGTTTAAAAAGGTGATTTTCCTTATGTTTTTTCTGTATTTTCCCCTCTTTTCTTATAAAGCACGTTTTTCCCCATAGAAGATTGCTTTTTCAGCAGGGTATCTGTAGAGGTAAGCTTACCAAAATTTTGCTGCCTGGCTATTCAGTTTCAAGACTGAGCTTCTGAAATTATTTTATGTGTTACCAGAGGAAGAGTTGCATGTGCTGCAATTCCGTTCTGTTTCTGATAGACTTCATGCAATACTTTAGATTAAATTCTTCATTATGTTCAGCTTGATGCTCCATCAGGGACCCAGAGTGAGTAGCTTTGCTGCCACGTAGGCAGTTTGTCTTTCATTTAGATGCCAACCCTGATATTATTTAAGAAAGCATCAAGGAAGCGTGCCAGTCAGGCAAATGCTTTACTTCAACAATTGTACTTTTTTTCAGAGAGGGGAATAGGAGGAGCTTCCTATAGGCAACTTATGCAGACCATGAAGTGTTTCTACTTCATTTCTAATTCCGAAAGCCACAATTAAAGGTTTGCTCTAAAAAAACCCCCAAAAGTCATTATCACAGGATGCCTAATGAAGGGTTGCGAGATACTGGAAGAGGTTGCCCAGAGGAGCTGTGGATGCCCCATCGTTGGAAGTCTTCAAGGTCAGGTTGGACAGGTTGAACAAGCTGATCTAGTGTAAGATGTCCCTGCCCATGGCAGGGCGGTTGGAATAGATGATCTTTGAAGGTCACTTCCAACCCAAACCATTCTCTGATTCAATTAGTGGTCTACCTGGAGAAGTGTGGTTTAGCCACAGGGCTGTTTTACCCCATGGGTAGGTAGCTTGTTCATGTGAACTTCGGATAGTATTTTAAGACCCTGTTTTCTCTTTAATTAGATTAGCTAGAAACATCCAGATGAACTTTATATTGGAAGCCCAGCTTGTTTTCATAGACATAAACCTTTAGGGGTGGGATGTTGATGTGCTGCTCCCCACCCCTCCCTGGGATCATCACCCTGTGCCAGTGCACGATGCAGCATGTGAGCATCCTCCTCCGTTCCGTGCAAAGCCAAACATAAACCATGCTTCAGCTTCCCTGGGGAGGTTTGAATGCAAGTTAATTTATGACATCATGTTTCTCACTCCAACCCCCAACCCCCCCCCCTCCCGCACACCACCCACAAA